CAACAGGCTGGCACACAGAGGCAGTGAGGGGCAATCAGGCCAGTGGGGGGGAGGGGGGGCAACCAGGCAGGCAGGCAGATATGCACTTAGGAGCCAGCAGTCCAGGATAAACCAGCAGTCGGACATCCCCCAAGGGGTCCCGGATTGGAGAGGGTGCAGGCTGGGCTGAGGGGACCCCCACCCCCATGCATGAATTTCATGCATCGGACCTCTAGAGTTTCTATAAAAGGAGTTGATATTCAGGTAAGAAAGTCCCAAAGTATCTCCTTCATAAAATATTCTCTGGACATTTAAGGCTTTTCTGCATTGTGAATTTTCAGATGTCTAACCAGGATATGTTTGTGGATAAAATATTTCCCACATACATTACACTCATATGGCTTTTCTCCAGTGTGAACTCTGTGGTGTTGAATGAGGTTACAATTTTCACTGAAGAACTCCCCACAATCACTACACTGATATGGCTTTTCACCAGTGTGAACTCTTGCGGTTAAGGAGTTGAGTACTGTAACTGAAAGATTTCCCAGTCACCACATTGATACAGCTTTTCCCCAGTATGAAAACTTTTGTGGTTAAGGAGTTTACTATTGTACCTGAAAGATTTTCCACATTCACTACACTCATATGGTTTTTCTCCAGTGTGAACTCTATGGTGTTGGTTGAGGTTAGACCTATATCTGAAGGACTTCCCACAATCAGTACATTGATACAACTTTTCTCCACTGTGAACTCTCTGATGCTCAGTGAGAGTAGTGATTTGCTTAAATGACTTCCCACAATAACTGCAGTCATATGGCTTTTCTCCAGTGTGAACTCTGTGGTGTTGAATGAGATTACAATTTTGACTGAAGGATGTCCCACATTCACTACATTGATACGACTTACCACCAGTGTGAACTCTTTTGGGGTTAAGGAGTTGACTGTTGTACCTAAAAGATTTTCCACATTCACTACACTCATAAGGTTTTCCTCCAGAATGAACTTCTTGAAGTTCAATGAGATTACAGCTTATGCTTAATGACTTACTGCTATCAGTACACTCATATGGCTTTTTTCCAGTGCGGACTTTCTTTGGGGTAAAGAGGAGATTCTTATGCCTAAATGATTTCCCACATTCACTAACCTCAAAAGATTTTTCAACAGTGTGAACTCTATGGTGTTCAGTGAGAGAAGAACTTTGATGAAAGGGCTTTCTACAATCATCACACTCACAGGAATTTTTTCCAGTGTGAACTCTCCTATGTCAATTGAGGTTAATGTTACATCTAAAACCTCTTCCATATTCTTATACTCATATTTCACTTCGCCAGAGCAGACATCCTGGTGTTGAACAAATTTATGTCTGTAGCTTGCAGCATTTTTACGTTTGCCTTATTGGTGATTAGTAATTTTCCACTGAGAATTTCTGTGAAAACTCACTACCACTGTGAGGCTTCCTGTGCTAAGAGATGCCTGGGGCTGCAACAGCCCTGAGATGGCTGAGAAGTCTTTCCTAGGCTCACTAGTGGTTGAAGGCACTCCTGAGATGTAGAAGGTGCACCTGCTCACAAACAAGGCCCTGTCCATAGCTTCTTTCCAGGACTTGTCTCCACTGACATCCCTCTGTTGCTGGTGATGGTTTACATGGAAACTGAACCTCTAACACATGTGTCACTGAAAAAGGCTTTCTGTTCAAAGTATGCTGCTTGTGACTCAGTCAGGTGCAGAATATCTTTTAAAACTGAGAAACACCGCTTATAGAGATGGGTCGTCTGGGCTGGTGGAGCTGTCTTAGAAGCCATGAATTTTGCTTCCACTTGTACAGATACACTCTCATCAGAACAGGCCTCTTCATCATACATTTTATGCCAACATCCTGAAACAGAAATATGGTGAGGAAATAAATGTTGACCAGTGACACAGGGATGTCCCATTAAAAAAGTGTGTTGTACATATTACCTTGGCTTCATACAAATGGCTGAAAATAAAAGATTTCCAGGAAGGATTTATAGGATGCTGATGAAGTTCTGGCTACTGAAGATCAAGAACAAGGTAGACCTCAAATGAAATATGGCACAAGCATGGCAAGCACCACATGGAACAGAAAAGGAATCACCTGCTCATTCTTCTGCTATCAGCATTCAACAGAGCTTGTCTGCTGGTGACATGGGCAAGCGGTGCACAATGTTGGGTACACCTTATCCCAAGTAAAATTTAATAAATGAATAGCTTGTGTATGAGGTCTACTTAAGCAAGTATGCACATCTCATAACACATGTACAGGTCAATGTTGGAGAATACTGCAAAGAAAGCCTTGCAGGGGCCAGGTGATACAAAAAGGCCAGAAGGTAAAGGTAGCCAAAAGCCAGGAAGTCACAGATGAAATGACAAGTCAGCAAAGTGTCATGTATGGGATAGAAAAGGTAGAAATGAGCTGCTGCCAGTGGCACTTGCACCGAAACATTGATGGAAATTAGCAGGTCCCTTGTATGATCTGAACACAGCCCTTATGTCATACTTTTCCCAGCTGCCACTCAACAGGGCCAGATCTCCTCTGAAATCATGCTGCATGTTCACCCTGTAAAAAAACCAGGGTTCTCCCTGCACTTTCTGAGGTACAAGTATGTAAAACCTAAATATTCAAAGAATTAATGAAAGACACCAGAGGTGAGCAGCCAGCACTGGCCCAAGCAGCTCAGCATGCAATAGTATTCAGGGAAGAGAATACTACAAATAATGGAAGGAGAATATCACAATAATCGCCCATGGTTCGTTTAAATAAAGACCATAACCAGGCTCAGGCAGTCACCAATGACCCTTAGCGGGAGGAAGGGTACAGAAGTGGAAGCCATGGATCTGGACACAGTCACTCTCCCAGGAAGAGGCAGTTAAGGTGGGTCCCTTTAAACTGTCTGCAAGACTCAGGACTTCCACACACTCCCTGCACTCTCTGAGGCAATGGGTGTTAGGGGTGTTTGGTGAGTCCATTGCTCAGGGCTCTCCACACAGCTCAGCACATGTATCCACAGAGCATATCACAAGAATGTGGGGGAAATTAGCAGAGCCCATGGTTTGGCTGTGGAATAAAGAAAGTTATGTCTAAAGAGTAAAGGAAGAGGGGCCATCACCTCAGGACACTAGAAAATGTGAAAATCTTACCTACAAGTGCAAACACTTGCAGCATCACATTGCAGTATAGATGTCTCTGATCCTCATCAAGGAGCCCCCACTCCTCCTGAGAGAAAGCAAGGGCCACGTCCTCAAAATTCATATCCTGTTATAATGGGGACAGTTCAGCCCATGATCAGCATCTCTCCTATGATTTTCTGTTCATCATACTGCCCACCCTACACATCCATCCTTCCCCCTCTACTACCTTTATCAGAGTAGGTACCAGGGCTTAGTCCTTATATGCCAACTGTTACTGCGTCTACCCACAACAATAAAGTTTGATGAGCAGATAAAAGGTATCTGAATCCTGGGCCTCACATGTAGGTCACACAGCTCTTCTCAATACAGCTGAGGGAGAAATGTTGGCCATAAAGAGAGTGTGATTGATTTGACACTGGTCTTATCAGGCATTCCCCCTGTAGTGCCCCAGAATGTCCCTACAAGACCCAGAAAAGCTTGGGATCACACTTTACTCTTTGGAACTCAGTCCTAGGATGCTGAGTCTATCACCTTTCATTAACTTTGAAACACACTCCTCTCACACAGCCTCTTAACCAGAGTCACAATTTCAAAAAAAATAACACCAATATGCCTTGTTGTGGCCAGGATTTTTCCTAATCACCTTCTTTTCCAAAATCCTAACTCACCACTTCGTAATGTATTTCTCTCCTTCCAGATGTCTTCCCTATACCAGTGGAGATTTTCAAGCCCAGGTGACACTGATGAATGCTATCATGTTCCTATTGACCACTGCATCTGCCCTCAACAACAGACAGGTGTGCACATCTATAACACCTAAGCTCTGGGCAGTGCATGTAGCATGACAATACACCTCTTTTCAGACAATTACACTAAAATTCCACATATTGACATCCAGTCACCACCAAAAATGGATTCACCTTTCATTCACTCTTAAGTCAATTTCAGGGCCCTGTGACCATGAATTAGCATATCCTCTACAACTGCACAACAGTCTTTCTACAACACTTCTCTCACACCTGCACTCCCACAGCCCCAACCACCATAACCATCCCCTTGACCTCCTACTCATTATTCAGCATGTGTGGCTCAGAGAATGAATGCCTGGCAAATTCAAACTGGATGAAGTACTACCCCAACTCTGACAGTCCACACTCATAGAGGCAGCCTTGCATCCTGCTCCAAAGCCCTCCCTCCCTGATTGGTTTTTACTTCCACCTCACCTAATGAAACCACATCAGCTCACAGATATCCAGAGCCCACCACCACTGGTGCTGCACTTGATGTCCCTTCATGAGTCACAGCCTTCATAACTCAAGTCCCATAGCCTGTGTCCCTCTAACCCATGCCCACCGAGGTACCTGCCCTTGACTAGAATCGAACCTGGGACCCTTCAGTTTGCAGACTGACGCTCTACCCACTAAGCCAAACCGGGCAGGGCCCTGCTGCTGGTTTTTAAAAATTGACATAAGTACCTGAACCCAGGAAGCAGGGTAAGGGACATTCCCGGGGATGGTGGGAGGGCTGGGGATGAAGGAAATTCGGGGTGTCAGTGTCTTCAATGGCAGAGGAGCACGGGCCACACGCAGTGAGCACAGGCTTCTGGCAGAACCTCCCGCAGGGTGCACCTGGCCCCAAGGGCGGGCATCTCACCTCTCGACTTGGCTGAGGAAGCAGTGGACAGGTTGAGTGCGTTGGGACACCTTCTCAGGGGCTGCGGCCTGGAGTCATTTCTGCCCAGAGAGGAGGCAGCTGCGATTCTGTAACACACGCATGTCAGAAGATGTGTCGGCTGAAGCCAAACAGCCTCTCACACACGCTGGCTCTGCCTTGAGGAGCCTACATACTGAGGGGCAGGGTGGGGGTGACTGTTACACCATGACTCTGGAGTAGCCCAAAGTGCTAGAAGTGACGCCCCGAGATGTCGTTGCGTTGGAAGAGCGTCTATTCTGAAGTTGGTCTTGGCAGTAGGCAGTGGTCACCTGGGAGTTAACCCCACCAGGACCCTGCCAGTGGGAGGGGCTTAGCTCCTGTGTGACCAGCAGGATCCTGTCAGTGGGAGGGGCTTTCATTTTCTGTCTCTTTTTCTCCCCTAAACAGAGACAGAAAACGAAATGCTGCTCCTGTGAGCTCCCAATGACGGCCGGTCTCCAGAGGGGACACCTTGCTGACCGGACACCACTTTTCCCTTTGTCAGAAGGGCGTTGATATAAGCCAAAACCCCTCCATATTTATTCATTATCCTAGTCCTGTATAAGAGGATTTTATGTTATCCAACCCCTGTCAAACAATAAGGTAATTTTGTTGTTGTTGTTCACTCCTCACTTTAATGCACAGGGTTACCGTGCATACTCCATAGGATATCACTCTTTTCAAAAAAGTCTAGAGCAGCCAGGCCAGCGTGGCTCAGTGGTGGAGCATCAACCTATGAACCAGGAGGTCACGGTTTGATTCCTGGTCAGGGCACATGCCCGGGTTACAGGCTCCATCCCCAGTGTGGGGCTTGCAGGAGGAAGCCGGTCTATGATTCCACTCATCATTGATATTTCTCTCTCTCTCCCTCTCCCTTCCTTTCTGAAATCAATAACAATATATTTTTTTTAAAAAAAGAATGGGACAATGGGATGGGGGAGACAGAGAGGCAGAGAGCCAGAGGGGAGTGGTTCCCACTGGTTCTGATCCCACATCAGAAAGGGGGGGGGGGCGGGAGGCTCTTTACCGCATCCTTCAGCTTCCTTCTTGCAGTGGCTGCAGGGATGTTGACCGGCTGCTGGTGATACTCTAGAGCTGCCTGGAATAAACAGCGGCAACTGGCCAACTTGCTCTAGCTGCAGGGAAGGGGGACGTTATCCCTGG